TAATAATATTTAAAGTAGCACCTGAGTTTTTTTCCTAAAGAAATAAATACTTCTAAGGTTTTCTTATTTTACTTTTTGGTTGGCCAGAAAAACTTGATATTCTTCTCTTTTCCCTTCATGCATACAGTATAAATAAATGATGTACTCTTTGTTCAAACAACGTTTGAGAGTCTTTGCTACTTAACTCATCACACCCAAATTCAGTAGATGGGCAACAGACACAAAAGCATGAGACAAACTCATCTGCTAACGAACAAAAGAAAGGAACTATTTTAAAAAGATTTAAAAAAAATTAAGTACGTGTATACATTAATTCAAAATTGTTCTTTTCTCTAACTTCTTGCTAAATTGGAGAGGTCAGACCCTGGTTTAACTCAACTGGCCTCACTGCCGTCTTGCTCCACGTCACTCCTTGTGTGCTGAGCACGCTGGTGTTCACAGAAAACTCTACTCTGCTCCCTGGCCACAGACTAGAGTCCTAACCTCGCTGACCCGCTTAACACATGCGCTGAGATCGACAGCTTGTTATAGTGGATAGATCATTATTCCCGTTGTTGATAAAAATCTTCTCCAAGATTGCCGCAGCACAAAGAGGGCACATCTTTGTCTTCTTCAAACACAAAGCTCCAATTCACCCAGTCCTTTTAGTTCACTGTAATTCTACTTCTTGGCTTTGTTTTACCCTCAGCTGCCAGCATATATTTAAAAACTATGCAGACATACTGAAGAAAACATCAATACAACTTACTGTAGGTGGCTATGACTGGACTTTTTGCTGTGAAATTTGAGTCATGTTTGAGTAATGAAATAAACAGAAACTAACAGGCAAAGCAAGCACAAGAATCATCTCAATCAGTATCACCTAAACAATATTTTCTGCTGAGAAAAAAACCGATTCACCTTCACAACTAGCTGTCTCTCAAAAGAATGACTGACATCGTCCCATTTTTAAAAAGAGCTTCTAAAAAAAAGATTCCTCTGCCTGCCTTCCTAGAAAAGGGTAATTTAAAAAGAATCTTTTAAAACAACACATGGAATGTGAGGGTGCTTTGTTACCTGTAATGCCCTATACAAATGCAAAGTAGGATCAGAATCATCTCTGATACCAGGCTGGTCTCTAACCCAGTAAAAATCTTCATGTAGGTATCTGGGGATGTTGCTATGCCCACGACTGTAGAAGCCAGCATAGGGTGGAGGGGGAGGGGAAGGAACCACAGAGCTAGAGCTAGAAGGGAAATGCAGAAGTCCTCCAGTCCAGTTGGCAGCGGAACCCCTAGGTGGCCCCCTCAGAAGGAACTTCCCCCACTCCCGTGAGACGTCCTAGCAGCCATGCATGCCAAGTAGGGCACCCGCATATAGGGAAAGCCCCCAGGGAAGGAGCAGCCCCTTCTTTCCAGTTCTAATCACAAATAATTTTTGCATTTACATCTCAGTGAAATCTGTCTTCCAATAAGCACTCCTTGTCCTCTTCTGTACTCAGGAATTATGCTAAATGAACAAAATCCCTTTGCTGCACGATGGACCTTCATGATACACAATTCGGACCTATCTACTCCCCTGCCTAAATCTTTCTGCAGGCTGAAACAGCACAGCTGAAGACATGAAAACTGGTGTCACTAAGCTAGTACCTACCTAACTAGCCTGGAACTTCAATCTGACTCAAACATTTATTGCAGCGTTGGTGTGGGAAGCATATAAAGGCACCTAGTCGCTGCCCTTGAAGGATATGCAATTTAGTAAATTCAGTAGATATAATTAATCTTAGTTAACAAACGTGTCCCCTCTGTATTTAGGAACTATTTATGGTTGACCTTGTTCCAGATAGAAGAAAAAAAGATACATGCCTTTTCTTACCATAAAATGAGAAAATGCTGTGTGTCTTTAAAACACCAACAGTTATTAATACCAGTATTGCTGCGAATGTGTCCCACCGACTAGGTAATGATGTTAAAATCAACTTATCCAACATATGACCGATGAAAGAGTCAAGAACCCAAGATGAATGATCTGTTGTAAGTAAAAGGATGCATTTGTTTTTTAGAAGAGTTAATAAAAATATCTAATTTCCAAAAAAACCCTGTAAGACTGATGTATTTAAATGTGTTACAGTAAAAATCTGATATACACAAATAATTGTCCTGTACTTTAGATTTTAAATATTACTAAATTTACTGAGTAATTATAAGATGCATACGAATAAAAGGTTTTTCTGTAGCGTGTATGTATACGAACACCCACATATATACGCACCCATATACACTTATATATAATCGCACGTCTTAAAGTCTTCTTTCGAACATATTTCACATAAGATGAACAGTTAGCCAAAGGAAAGACACAAATTTCAAAACATCTTTGGAGATTAAAGTCATATAAAATGTTAGTATCTTTTCCTAACAATTCAACGGCAAGAAAATGCAGGGGAATTCTTAACTGTGCAAATAAAATCACGTAACGAAACAGTAACAATGCTCTTTAAATAAATTTCAAACTTAAAAGTTTTAAAACGGCAATTCTAGTTTTAACACTCTTACAGGTTTCTGGAAATGTGTAATCCATATCGGTATTTGCAGCCCTGGTAGCTTGTATTTTGCTACAAAACCTATTACTGCAACCTAAATTACAGAGCATGGTTATGTTTTCTCTTAGGCCACCTAAGTGGACTAGATCATACTGCTAAATATCAAAGGTTGAAATTAAACAATACAGATCGGCATGAAACCTAAGTTAGAGAAACTAGAGGAACTCACTGAAGCAGCCAAGCCTCTGCTGCATTATGTGCATTATGCTCCGTTTCACGAATCACAAGCAAATCATTATTTAGGGTAAACTAAAGCCCACATCAAAGCTTCAGCAAAGGGCTGTAAAGGTAGGGTACTTACGTAAAGGATTACGGGACTCGAGACAATACTACTTACTAGGGAGGGTCTCTAACTACCACAGGGTGGTAACACGCATTTAAAAAGGCGATGTGGATTCAGCTAGCCTACTTTGCACAGCATCCGAGACAAAGCCGGGCTAGGCCCCAGGGCGCTCCCGGTGCACCTGCAATGCGGATCCCTCGCCCTGCGATCCCACCCCGGGGCTGGCAGGAGCGGCCCCTGGGCCCGGCCTCTCCATCGCACTGGCGTGGGTGCGCGCTGCGGCCGGTCCGCATCCCGGACTGGAGCCCTGGCAAGGGCGCCGCCTCCCCAAAAGGGGTTACTGGAAGACCCCGCAGGCAGTGGGCGCAGGGGTCCCTGCGCCTCACTTCGACCCTCCTTCCTCCCACTTCGTCTTCCCTAGAGTTGTCTCCGCAGGGGGACACCCCTGCCCACACCTAGAGCTAGCGTTTCTCCCGGGGGGAAGGGAGAGAGGACCCGGTCCTCTTGCGGGGAGGGCTTTTAAAGTCATTTACACGAACTCGGGTCTCCACCGGGAGCCTCCAGGTGAGCAGGGCTGGACTCGGCACACCTGGGCCCCGCCTCACCTGCGGGCGCGGCCGTCGCGGTCCTTCAGGCGGCTCCCCGCCTCGGCGCGGTCCTCCCGGCGGGCAGCAGCGGGGGCCCGCGGCCCATGGGCGGGGCGGCGGCGGGCGGGGCTGGCTCGGCTCCGGCCCTGCCCCGGCCGGGCCGCCGAGGGAGGTCAGTGGGCGCCGCCCGCCCCGCGCATCTCGCCGGCTCCCACCCGAGCGCTGGCCGCGGTG